GCCTTTTCCTGGAAAGGAGTGACTTATCATTTCAATACCTTGTGTTTCGGGATCTCTTCGGCCTGATGGATTCTTATTACAATAATGCAGGAAGTAATGACTGTAATCAGAGCTAGAGGAGTCCATATTTTCTCTTACATCGATGACAGTCTTTCCACTCATAAGAAACTCCCTGTTTGCCTGTGGAATTCGTTTCTGATCACTGTGATATTCAACGAGCTATGTTTCTTCCTCCGCCAGAGCAAATGCAATGTGTTTCCTTCTCAATCCAACCGTTTCCTTGGTTTTATTCTAGATTCACATCAAAAAAGGATTAAGGTACCTCAGGACAAAGCAGAAAAAATTGGTAATCTATTGAGGTCAGCAGCGGACGAATCTCATTTGTTGACAAGAAAGGTCGCTTCACTGGCAGGCAAGCTTGTCTCACTGTCCAAGGCCTTTTTACCCGCATTATTGCACTGCTCACACCTCCATGAGACACTAACTAACTGCGACTGGAACGGTAGAATAGAACTTTCAAATCAATTCAAGGAAGACCTCCGATGGTGGCTAGAGCACCTCCCCATAATTCCCGGAAGGCTGTGGACAGTCAGAACTGCTACAGTCACTATGCAGACAGATGCGTCCGCCTCGGCAGTAGGAGCCATAATCTCTTTTCAAAATAATATCTCATGGAAGCTCAATTTTCCTTTACCTTCGTACCTGCTAAGCTCTTCAAGCACTCACCGCGAACTCTTTGCGGTAACCTCCACCTTGTCTCTCCTGGCAGAAAGAATCCCAGAAAGAATTCAATCCAGAGCGGTCAGAATAATAGGTGATAATCAGCCAGTCGCTTTTCTCCTAAAGAAACTAAGCTCGACTGGTGAACTGTTCACTGCTTTTCTTAGAACGATCGTATCGATATTACTGAAATTGGACTGCCAACTGCAACCTAGCTGGGTCCCAAGAGAACTAAATACAACAACAAACAAACTCTCGAAGATAATCGACCACTCGGATTGGGGACTGAGCATGACAATTGTAGAAGAATTGTTCATCAGATTTGGTCAACCTGCTATTGACCTTTTTGCCTCGGAGGAAAACTTTGTCTGTATTCCGTTTGTGTCCGAATTCCTATCATCGAACTGCTTGGCAGCAGATGCCCTAGCACTAGACTGGAATTCCCTGCCATCTTCTCCCTATAGATGGTTTTTTCCTCCGACCTGCCTTCCCCACCAAGTACTGGCAAAAATGAGGTTCTTTGGGGGAGAATACCTCCTCATAACACCGAGTTCTTCCAGGGCTAGCTGGTTCCCCGCTCTAGACTCCCTTGACGCAGCAATCGTCATCAATCTGGAAAAGGACTTTGAAACTTGCTTCCCCACCTCAAGAATCCCAAGAGGATCTTTCAATCCTGGAAAGACAGGCCTCAAGGTCAGTAGGATTTCCATCTAACTACTCAATTACAACCGTAACCGTATCGCATAAAGGAAGAAAAATGCTTCAACAGCCATTTCGTCAAAACGGACATATTATATTTTTTGAACGAAATCAAAACTGACTTTTTTTGCGAAAATCTGGTCAGAATTTTTTGCTCCTGGGGGTCCGGC